AAAAAAAAAAAAAAAAAAAAAAAAAAAAAAAAAAAAAAAAAAAAAAAAAAACTGAAGGAGAAGTGAAAAGTGATTATTTGTTACATCTTGCAAGTTATTATATCTGTCAACCAAACTGGTTTTTAATACTTTTTATCTCATCTTCCAAACTGGTGACTCCAAAGAATAGTATATCATTTTTGAATCTTCCAGTGATTTTGCTTCATTCAATTTTCTTCATTTTTTTCCTGTAAGTTAAGATACTTTTTGAAAACAGTGCATTTTTTTTCTTTCCTATTTCCACTTTGATATTTTACTTCAAAATTCTGACACTTTAAACCGTCGATTTTATTTCTGTAAACTACAATACAGCATCCAGTAATATAATAAAATATTTTGAAGTTTTATAATAAAGAGTAGCATTATATAATAAATAAAATTGAAACATTTTAAAAAAGTGTATTTTATTGCTCTAAATGCATTTTATTGCCATGTGTGTAACGAAAGAAGAAAAAAAAAACATTTTTTACGAGAGCTGAAAAAATTACGAATTTCGAAAGAAGACAACATAAAATTTCAATAAATGGTCATTATGTAATAAATATTCAATATCTTTGATGATTTTTAATTGTCCAGTAATCTTTTCAATGTAATCTCTTCCATCAAAGCAATCTCTTCGTTTACTATTGCCTGCTAAAAATAGAAAATGTAATTTGAAACTTATTTACAATAAACTGGTGATATACACTTTATAAAATACATGTAATAATATTTTATACATCATTTATTTCTTTGTCTATTTATATGTTCTACAAAATTAAACAAAATGGTATGTCGACATATTCAGAACTAAATTCGAATTGAAACTCTATAAATAATAGTTTAGATACGATCAAGGTTAAAATTTATTCACACAAGTTAAACCTTCAATGGCTTAGGAGAAATTAGTTTCAGGAACATGATTCATTATAGCTCTAAAAATAATCCACTTTAACACGTTGAGTGCCATGGGGGTCACCGGTGACCGGCACTGAGTTTGTTCGTAGCGCCACGGGGGTCACAGGTGACCGGCAAAGGCGAGATTATTAGAAGCACATAAATCAAGTAAATTTTTAATAGTTTTATTTTTTTTTAATATTATTATCGTTACTAAAATTGTTTGAAGAAATTAATGCAATACATATTGAGAAAATCATTTTGGTCTGATGGGCAAGCCATGTAAAATTAGCGTTGCATTCAACGTGTTAACAAAGTTCGCAAACAAATTTTTTTTAAACTTTTGAACTTATCCAGTGTTTTACGGTGGGGATATTAAACTTTTCCAAGTTTCGAGTACTCCTCATTATTTTATTATATTTTCTTCCGTCGTTCCCGTAAATTCTACTGCGTTTTAATTATTCAATAATTTTTATATAAATCATTAATGTAACTCTTGTCTATTTATCTGTCTACCTATCCATTGCTGTGCTTTATGTAAGAAAAAAAGTCCTTCTCTGGGAATAGATCATAAATGACAACCAATAAACAACCTCAACCGAAGGTTTTCCTTAAATAAAAAAAAATTAAAAACATGATGTTTTGCTGTTACTAAGTTTATAATCTTGTACTACAGTTAAACTTATGAATACCTTTTGTAAACGAAGAATCCAAATCCTAAAAGGGTGATAATGAAAAGCACAATTAGGATGATGCCGCCTGTTCTCCATCCAGCAGAAACAACAACTGGAAGCAAAAAATAAATTTTTAGTGAAATCATGCGTCATAAGATGATTTGAATTTTGAATATGTATATATATACATGTATTCATTTTTATAATCCCTTAAAGAACTAAATTACAGAGGCTTTGTGTTAAAGTTTCATGCATAATAATCAACACAGAACAATGAGACTATCAGAGTGCTGGGCCTATTTAATATTAAGGTTAATATTTTTTTTTCTAGCAGCAGGCACTGACTCTCGTTCTTTAGCCTCGGAAGATGCCGAAAGTGATACTCATTTAACGTTACCCGGTTGGCACCTTTGTACCTAAGTCAAAGTCATACTTAAGTCATATTCTTTGCTTAAGTAACGGAGGTAAGCAGCGTTTTTCATGCCACACTGCCATAGATACCCGTTCATAGAGTGGGTCGCATTTATAAATTATATAATACAAAAAAAAACTCACGCAGAAACATCCATGACCTCAGTTGGGTTTGTACCCGCAAAAATTGACTTAGCAATAAGGCAATCTGACTGCTTGATCACCTGGCTAACTACTTCAGACTATAAATAAATATACAGAAATTTGAAATATACGGATTAAAGGGGCCATTCTAATATTACGTAAGCACCTTATGGTGGAAGAGATTTGTTGATTTACTTATTTTTGCTCACAAGGGGGGGGGGAGTGCTATAAGCAATGTCTACGCATGGCATTAAAATGCCTTTATGTTCAAAACTTCCTCAATAAACAAAATAAAAAAAGTAACAAAAAAGTTAGACATTAAAAAATTTCAAATGTGGAATAAATGTTAAGGAATAATGAAAGGAAAAATTTGAAGAAAAAATAAAATAAATAAATCCATCGAAGAGCTTTATAGGTCAGGAGTTATGAACACAAAAAATTCCTTAAGAATATTCCACTCAAAACGAAATTAAAATTTAAAATTGGTTTTACTCAAAGTTATATATTTTTATTTGAACTTAATCCAAAAACTACTACTGTAAATGTCAAAAATCACTGGTGTGGAAGCAACTGCCCAAGGTAAGCATGGGAAAGTGGTTGTGATTTGCTTACTTTTGCTGACAAATGGGGAAGGGTAGTCCAAAAATATCCTTTCCTTAATATACTTTCCTTGAACAGACCGTTATATATATAATATATACGGAAATGCGAAATATATGGATTATAGACATAATATCCTTTTTTTAAAAAATATATATATTTTCCGAAATAAATTCTGAAAATCCCTGTTTTTCAATAACAGTATCTTATAGTGTTTAAATTTTGTATTATATGATTATTTAATTAATGCTTATATTTTTAATGATCAAAAATTATAATTATTATAAAATCGTAAAATACAATCATCATTAAATCTACTATTCATAAATAATTATAAAAATTATTTTAAAAAAATGAATGCTTTTTACCAAATATGATAAAAATTTAAATTAAAAAATTCTTTTCATGGTTTTCACAGAGTTCTAAATGTCAGCTTTGACTGACGCCATTTCTTTTCTCCTGCTAATAAAAATTTTTTTGCAAAAATTATTTCTGAAAAAAAAAAAATTGCAATCGATAGCTCATCATACAAAAATACGAAATTTATAGAAATCTCAATTTTGAATTTTTTTGTAGCTTACATTGATTTTTCAATTGTACGGTAGTGTTTTAAGAGAGCATGCATTTGGTGGAGAAAAAATTAATTCGAGTGTATAAAACCAATTGTATTTTACATCGTTTTACAGAGTTATTTGGAAAGTCGAGGTTTACAAGTTGAGTCGAGGCTAGTGAGTAATTTTAAATAACTCACTAACTATTGAAGGGTGAAATAGAATTTAAGATATATCACAACATATTCAAGCATTTGTCAAAATATTTAGAACAGACTATATTGCAAAAACTCCACTTACCTTCGCATGTGTCTCCTCTTTGAGCTCTACCATCTTCGCAAAGACAAACTTTTTGTTCACCTACTTTGACGCATGCTATGGAGCCAGTTCCACAATCACAATCTGAAAGAAAAATAGATGAAGCAATAATTTAATATATGTTAATTCATTTCTGAACTAATTTCGTATATAATTAAAGTTAAATAACGCGATCTCCATGTCGCCTGGGGAATAAGAACCCCGGTTTATCATAATGACAACTCAGCTTAGTACCTTAACCACTGTGCCATTTTGTCTTGACATACGCCTATAGTGATCCATTTTTTGGAGCAATTGGAAGCTAAACTTACACTTTAATTTCAATACGAGATAGACATTCTTTCCAATGCATTTGCTAGCGGTGAATATAATAAAACCAAATGCAAATTGATAAGTTGATTTTCATAAATTATGAGACTTGCATGTAGAAAAAATATAATTTCGGATTTATAAAATTAGTACAACAAACACTTATTTAAAAACTGTTCGACCAATCTACTTAATATTAATTTCATTGGAATTGGCGTACAAATATGTGTTCAAAATTATGTATTACTTTGTCTAAGAATCAGACGCATGAAGATATAAAGTCAAAACTTTGTTTCTTAACTTTTGTAAGACATAGGACGTAATAGTTTTTTATTCTATATAGCAATAGTAATGAGTAAATGGGTCTAAGAAGAAAACTGTATTTTTTATGTATAAAAACTTTAACTTTCGAATCATTAATTCTACTGTCTTACGTTTGATTTCATTTGATTTTGCGTGAAGAATACACTACTTTACAATAATTGAAGAGACATTTTCAATTTTCGACATTTTTCTAAATTTCTCAAGAAATACTTAGAGAATTATTTTGTAACTTCAGAGGTGTTTAGTTTAAGAAAAACTTGTTTTGAATTAGGACGTACCAAATGATGAAGTTGATTTGGTTTACATTAAGAGTCATCAAACCTCAAAGTTTGGTTTATCATAAGCAAGTCTCATAATTACATTACTAATAAAATAATGAAATGAATGAACAGAATGACTTTAGAGAATGGGGAAAAAGCAGGATATTTTTTTAGATAATAGAAAATTCCAGAAAAGAAATTCCGATCGTGAAGTTTGGTTTTCTGTACAAAAGCAATGCCTGATTAAGAACACAGTTTCGAATCATAAAATCTGAATTTAAGTAATAAAATCTTAGGGTCTTCTGGAAGCTTCTGTGCTCGAAAGTACACGCCATGTCTGACAGTAATTCAAAAGGTTCTTTTATTAATTTGATTTTTTCATCATTAATTTTTTATTTTATTAACTGTTTTTTAAATTAAGGTATATACCAGTTAACTCAATAGTAATGTTCTACCTAAAGCCTGTTTTTTGAAGGCTTCGTCGTAGTACGGAATAATAAATTTTTTGCAAATGATATGCTATTTTTATTAATGCTGTGAGTATGCAACTGTTACTCATGAGTATTAGGTCGAGTTTAGCCAATCTATGGCCAACTCTATCTGCATTTATTTTCAAAATGGCACAGAATGTCAATATGGAGAAAGGACATCGTTTTGTCATAATGAAAAGCGTTTGTGGTCTAATTTTTTTGTATTTTAAAACTTACTCCAATGCTGCATTATCTGGATTCATAACAATTTGCAAAAACTGAAAATACGGCAGTGATTTTGATGATTTTCATCTAGGTGGAGAAATGTCACCAAATTGGCGATATTTAAAAAAGTTTATTAATATATTTAAATTATTTGTCTGTTCTAAAGCCATAATTCTTCATGGCAAGATTCAATATTTAATTTAAAATAATTGCATTGTTTCAATTGTAAGGCACTTAAACTAAGGCTTTTTTATTTTCTTCGGTGATAGAGTTTCGAAAAACTAAATTAAAAAGACATATGGAACTTACAGAGCTAAAACACCTGTGCATAAGTATTCAAAAATCTAACGAAAATACCCGACTGAATTAAGCGATATATCTGATCATACATTTAAGGATGAATGCCCTATTACTTTTTCATTTATAAAGGTACCATTTGCTTCCTTCTATTATGAAGCCTGTTTTTTTTGTAAAATGAATTTCCCGGTACACGTAATATAAAATCACGAAAAAAAATTGATTAAAAATTATGCAGCCACTTCATGGCTCTTTTGACTTTTTTTTAATTAAAATAAAGCAAAATTTCACAGGGCAGCTAATTTTGCAGGCCACTTGAGAAAATTTCTTCTAGTGGAGGCTAAGTTAAGGTTTTAACGTGTGATTCTTTGTTTTGTAAATTTGATTTAAAGTTATTTTTCCACCACCAAATGTAAATGATTCCAAACTTCATATGAAACTTTTACCATTTAAAGGAGTTCTTTCGTTGTGAGAGTTTTAAAATTTTAACAAAATTACCCAAAATTCTGGAAAATTTAGTTTTAAATTAATCTTACTTCGTAATCATGATGATAATATTAATTTCAATTTTTTGGATTTGGGTATTATGAAAGTTGAAAATATCTGCTTTGTTGATTTATACGATAAAAGAAATGATTTTAATTTTAATATTAATAAACTAGTTACTTGGAATTCTAATGTTTCTAGGAGCATCTATTTAAATACCACTTTTAATGAAATGAACAGAATTAAAAGAATATGTAGTAATATTTATTTATCCAAAATACAAATCGATAAACTCTTTCAAAATCTGATAAAAAACAATGGATACCCAACTAATGTAATAAAATTTTATATAAAATCATTGAATTAATCGTATATTTTGGTGGATATATTT